AATTCCTCAAGCGATTCCAGAGCACTCCAGGCACTTCGGACCTCTATGTGATACGGCCCGGCTTTGCGGGGCGTGGCTCCATCGCGCCTACCTGCATTCGTACGATCAAATGCTCGACTAATACCCGGCTTTTCTCTCATCTGTCCACTTGATCAACGCTCCTTACCACCACTCCATACACCGTAATAGTGTTGAAAGGAGCAGGTATGATGCTATTGGTCAAAGAATGTTGACCACCTGTTCGGGTAAAAGAAGAGCCTGATACTAGGCGGCTAATGAAATGTGTGGAAGAAGGTAAGCGCGGCGGAGCCGCGCAGTATCCTAGGAGGCGCGCCGGAGTCAGCCGGCGAAGCCGGCTGGTATCAACATACGCGGGAAACAGATAATTCAGAGAACGTCAGCACGCGTATGGAGATAGAAGGAATCGGGCGGCTACTGCGATGGATGAAGGAGAAAGGACTCCTAGTGTCTTCTCTCACGACCGACCGTAGCCGGGCACTGGGAGCCGCTCTGCTACATGGAGCCTGAGCTCGGTGCCATCCGCCATTACTACGACGGATGGCGTCTTGTGAAGTGGTTGGGCAACGAGCTCAGGAAGGTAATAGGTAGCCATCACGCGATGTGGGAACAACGATGACGTAGGTTGTTTTGCAGGCATCGAAGAAAGTGCGATGCGATAGGATTGCGGTTTGGGCGGAGAAGGTAAAATCGCACTTGTGGACAGCAATACAGCAAAGAGGAGGTGTTCAGGAGAAGAAGTTAGGGCCATGTTCAACACGTGCTCATGCATGTCTCTGGCCTGCATGAGTGGCCTGAGGTCTCCGATTCTCTCTACTAATTGCTATCACTTGATGACTGAGGAGCTTTCAGGACGAAGTGACAGGGCCGTATACCTCCTCTTCCAGGTCCACAACCCGGAGACATGAGTATGGATAGCGAGGCATATAGAAAGTTCCGCGAGGTTGTTCTTACTCAGTCTTTCCAAAGAGATTTGGTAAAGGTCAGTCTGTATGGAGGCACCTCCATATGCGAGACTAAGAATGCCTTGGATAGGATTTACTGCCGAAAGGAGATATTCTATCCAATCGAGACCTACCCCCTTTACACCATGATGGCCACAATGCACATCAATACATTGCGGTTAGCTGAGATGAGCGGGGAAAGGACGGTGGTGAGGACATGTAACATCCAGCGGAAGTACCTCAGGAGGAAATCGAAGCTGGTCGTTAAGTCCAAGCCGAAACATATTTGGAGAGACTTAGTATTGAGCGAGGTACTCAAGGAACGTCTCATATCCTTGGAGGCCAAGAAAAAAGGTGTCTCGCCCAGGGGGTTGCGGATCTGATGGCTGCCGAAGATGAGTACGAGATAGAGCTGTACACGGTAAGAAACATACATTTCAACTTTTATTATCTATTTCTATCACCCTTTTCACAAACAGCAGTCGTCCCATTCAACACTTTCCCATTCTTGAGGAGCTCCCTAAAAGATTTATCCAAATACAACAGCCTGAGGTGGACAGCAGCAGAATATTACCTTGAAACCTGTGTACACTCCTGTACTTGAGGAGGAAAGCGTCCATAATAGCCCCCCGTACGCAGGCCGGGAGCTCATATCTCCTCCCGAATCCAAGGCGTCCATAACACCACGCCACAAATGCGCGGTAGGCGCAAGTAACGAAGGGACCTGAACAGCACACATTCCAGATTTGCAGCCACCTCTTCTGAAAGAATCTCGCCTGTTTTCGTCCTCAACTGGTGCCTTTGCCTTCTTCCTTTCCATCCTTAGGTTGACCAGCAGTACGCGAAGCGTCTGAAATACGTGCAAAAATACCCACACCATCGACTATCAGATCTAGGCTACCTCAGGGTCCAGCACCACTTGAAATGAAGGATGCTGCCGTCTTTCAACTTTTCGCGTAGCCCTCTCGACGCTTCCGTGCCCTGTCCTTCTTCCAGTGCTTCTCGACAGAAAATTCTCGCGAATCCTGGTGAACGACTTACAGGATCCGCACGAGCACCACTGCTGGTTTCCCAGCCTGGATGGGGGTAGTTCCCTACCCAGAAGAAGGCATACCCTAAAATTCTAATTCTAAAATTCTATTCATAATGATTTCTATATTGATTTCTCACCTTTCATTATCTTTAGCCTTTCTTCGTGCTTCCCTCTCCCTTTCCCTCCTCGTCACTCTCTCCACCAGTTCCGGATCTGGATTCCCCATCGCAATGGGACATGGAATATTACGTCTTGATTGCATCACTGAAACCGGACTACAGCTGCGCTACAATGCAACTTCGTAAGGTGAGTAAGTACCATTTAATGAAAGAAATCGAGACTGGGTGTGTACTACACCGTCTATTTCAGAACCCTCATCATCTTTGGTTGGAAATGTCATCTTCAGTCTCCAACTTACCTCTTCGTATAACATCGGCACTGTTGTAAATTTGATGTTCTAGTACTTCTGCACCATCGATGTTTGTGGGTGGATCCTTATCCCGTGAATGAAGATCCACCTACAGATCTTCTTGGCACAGAAGTAATAGAACATGTCATCTTAAAAATCAGCTACATCCTAATGATTTCTAATGTGACCGTGGACGAATGTCACGTTCATGATTGATGTACAAATTGATATGGTTGTTCTTTGATAAACTTGAAAATCAAACACTTCTTTCATCATCAGGAATACTACAAGTACGATAGAACAATGTAACTAACAACTGTAAGTAGTTCCGGTAACGGGTTATATACCATCCAAAACATCGCTTTGAATGCTAACGATCAAACTTCATTGAACTTCATGCAAGAAGAAAAGTTTTAAAAATACTTCATGTGCACGTGTAAACCATATAGACAAAACATCAAACTGCGCCATACGAAATCTAGCGAAATGACAAATCTAAAAATACGGAAATAATAGAAAAAATGGCAACGATGAAAGCAACATTACCTCGTTGAACATTGCTTCATAAACATTCACACAGACTCCCACTCATTCAAACACTCTCATAAGGGAGGAAGGGTACAGGGAATGCTGTCGTGCCAATGTAAAGTTGAATAGGGTCAGAATCCATCAGGTTCTGCCACTAATCAACCCCCACTGGCAGAGAACAGCGAAAAAAAAGGGGGGGGGGGCAAGAATAGAGGAAGTGGGTGAAGCTGAACAGAACACAGCAGAGAGACAGACTCGCACGTCATATGCAACACTCACAAAGGGGTGTAGGGAACAGGTATTGCTGTCGTGCCAATGCAAAGTTGAATAGGGTCAGAATCCTTCAGGTTCTGCCACTAATCAGCCCCCGCTGGCCAGAGAACAGCGAAAAAAAAGGGGGGGGGAAGGGTGGAAGAAGGGAGGAAAAGGGGAAAGTGAAAAAAGACGCGGCTACAAAATGAACATGAACGAAGAAAACTGTGAGAGAATGTGAGGACGACAATGACAAAAGGGGTGCTAACGTCGTCTAATGTAAAAAATACATATAAAAAGAAAGCAAACATACGAGATTTAGTACGAGTATCAGCTAATTACCTGTTACAATCCATGGGAAGACCGCCAACTTGCCAGACAATGGCAACCTTGCTCATCCGAATACGGCTTGACACAAACCCAACACAATATATGGTGTCATACACCGAACCGATGTTCTGTGAACAACAACCACACCAAGCACAACAATTTTAACTCATAAACCAGATGAGAGCGCATCTAGGCCACAAAACAAGCTAAAGAACTTACGATGGTCTATATCACGAAAGAGGAATCGCTAGATAAGCCGTTGATGAGTCTTCCGCTACTCGAATGAGACCAATACCCACATACCTCTAAGCTTAGCGTCGCCAGCGCTGCCTAAAGGGTCTTGGATCAAAAAGACGGGGTTACTGTCAGCAAGCATCTGGAGGTGCCTGCCAAAATAGAAGAACAGAATATAGAATGACAAGGGCCAGCACACTCAAGAGCACTACTGCATGCTGCTTCTCGACAACATCTCTTCTGCGGCCCGCGTATTTCCACGAAACATGAAAATAAAACTAGTTTGATACCAGCAAAACGCAATTTCCTGATTCGAATAAAATTTTAGGTGTTGCTCATACTTCAAAATCCATGTACAAGGAGATGAAGATGACACAGGCTAGAAATGAAGCAACGATGTAAATGTAAACAAAACAAAAATGAAAAAATCAAGGAAAGGCAAATTAGATAAACTGGCCTGTAAATTTCTACGACGATCCGGCGCCAAAGCCATAGAAATACTTAGAATAAACGAGTGGGACGCTTGGATTGTTTTTATTCTCATGTTTTGTGGGAATGCGCGGCCTCTGATGGATACTGCAGATGCAGCCGAGTTGCTCTTGAGTTCTGGCGTCCCCCCCTTTCCTAACAGCCATAAGGGTACCAAAAATACAACCACAATGTTTCCATTGCAGCTGAAATGAACAAGAGCACCATGCATTCAAACGTGATACAGCCAAAACGGCATGCATTAAGCAAAGCACAAAATCTGTAACTCAGTTTCCATTCTCATCACCCTTTCACAGCAAAGCAGATCTCGAAAATATTAACTGTGATTACGCACAAAAGCGATAATCTCGCAAAAAAAAACGCTCTTATTGAAGTATCCTAATTCAAATGAAGTTAAAGGGACGCGTGGTCCCACAACGAAGTAAATTACCTTCGCCCGTAAAAATTATCCGGCATCTTTTCCGGGCGTACATTTAGGCGACAACCTATGCAATGACGAACGAATAATTGACGAACACCCGAGTCCAGGAAAAAGGGTAAACTGAGGAACAGTCTCACATACCTGTCGTAAACAGCTCCTCCAAGTTTGCGCTGGAACATCTGCAGCGACCATGATGTGGAGCAGCTGAAGATCTGAAAAAGGAAGTATAAATGGCACCAAACTACATAATAGAGAGAGCGATTTAGGAGTGAAACGCATCAAATCATTAGAAACGGAACAGAATAGCTGGATTGGATAAAACAAATTGTGACATGCATTCTTTACCAGAGAGAAATATCAAAAGCGAACAATGACGATCAATGCCTACTAAAATTGATAAGAAGAGAAAACACACAGCAAAACAAAATACAAAAAAAAATCCGGGTAAAGTAAATTAAGATCACTAATCATTAATCAAATAATTTATCAATAAATAGTCAATAATAAACTAGATTACTCCATTACATGAAGAAGAAAGTACGTAAAAGAGAAGAAAAAGAGAAAGGAGAAGAAAGGAGTTTGATAGGATGTGGTGGGAAATACCGTCAACACTATTGATCAGCTGCTGGCAAGCAGGCCAGCATTTCAGCACCGCGCGAAAAACTCGTCCGGACCCCGCCCCTTCGTCGTTCTTTGCTCGTCCGCCCCGGTTCGGTACAGAGCCCCATAAAGGGCATTCCCCACCATTTCGGTTTCCTTTTTCTTTTCTATTGAGTAACTTCCCGCGTTTTTAATC